GCGTAGCCTCCTTCGGGTTCCTCCCCTGCCCGTAGGAAGAGAGTTTAACCGTGCAGTCGCTCAGAAAGTGAACGACTGACAATATTCAGTCACCCCCCACGAGGGTGTCATTAGGCTCGGCCAAAAAATAGCCCATTTTGAACCCGTATAAACGGGTTCTGGGCCAATTTTTACCTCCCGAAGGAGACTCCGCCCTTCGGCGTAGCCTCCTTCGGCCAAAAAGGAAGAGAGTTTAACCGTGCAGTCGCTCATGAACGACTGACAAACCAGTCATAAGGGTTCATGTGGCACAAGGCCTTTTTAACGTGGGCATTCCCGAGCCATTCCGGTCAAAAATAGCCCATTTGAACCCGTATAAACGGGTTCTGGTTCGATTTACCTCCCGAAGGAGACTCCGCCCTTCGGCGTAGCCTCCTTCGGGTTCCTCCCGCCCGTAGGAAGAGAGTTCAAACCCAGCAGTCTGTTCAAAAGTGAACGACTGACAATATTCAGTCACCCCCCACGAGGGTGTCATGTGGCCATTAGGCAAGGCCTTTTTAACGTGGGGAAGGATTCCCTTCGGTCTCCCGCCATTAAACCGGCAGTCAAAAAACGACCCATTTGAACACCCCCCAACGGGTTTTGGGCTCGGCCAAAAAATTTTTCCATTTGAACCCGAAGGAGACTCCGCCCTTCGGCGTAGCCTCCTTCGGTTCCTCCCGCCCGTAGGAAAGAGAGTTTAACCGTGCAGTCGCTCAGAAAGTGAACGACTGACAATATTCAGTCACCCCCACGAGGGTGTCATGTGGCACAAGGCCTTTTTAACGTGGGCATTCCCGAGCCATTAGGCCCGGCCAAAAAAATAGCCCATTTGAACCCGTATAAACGGATTCAGGGCCGGTTTTTACCTCCCGAAGGAGACTCCACCCTTCGGCGTAACCCGTATAAACGAGTTCCTCCTTCGGGTTCCTCCCGCCCGTAGGAAGAGAGTTTAAACCCAGCAGTCTGTTCAAAAGTGAACGACTGACAATATTCAGTCACCCCCACGAGGGTGTCATGTGGCACAAAGGCCTTTTTAACGTGGGAATTCCCGAGCCATTAGGCTCGGCCAAAAATAGCCCATTTGAACCCGTATAAACGGGTTCTGGGCCGGTTTACCCCGAAGGAGACTCCGCCCTTCGGCGTAGCCTCCTTCGGGTTCCTCCCGCCCGTAGGAGAGTTGAACCGAACCGTCGCTCAGAAAGTGAGCGACTGGCAATATTCAGTCACCCCCCACGAGGGTGTCATGTGGCACAAGGCCTTTTTAACGTGGGAATTCCCGAGCCATTAGGCTCGGCCAAAATAGCCCATTTGAACCCGTATAAACGGGTTCTGGGCCGAGTTTACCTCCCGAAGGAGACTCCGCCCTTCGGCGTAGCCTCCTTCGGGTTCCTCCCGCCCGTAGGAAGAGAGTTCAAACCCAGCAGTCTGTTCAAAAGTGAACGACTGACAATATTCAGTCACCCCTCCACGAGGGTGTCATGTGGCACAAAGCCTTTTTAACGTGGGCATTCCCGCCATTAGGCTCGGCCAAAAATAGGAACCTTTTAAAGGAGACTCCGCCCTTCGGCGTAGCCTCCTTCGGTTCCTCCCGCCCGTAGGAAGAGTTTAACCGTTCGTTCAGAAAGTGAACGACTGTCAATATTCAGTCACCCCCCACGGGGTGTCAGCACAAAGGCCTTTTAATGTGGGAATTCCCGAGCCATTAGGCTAAAAATAGCCCATTTGAACACGTATAAACGGGTTCTGGGCCGAGTTTTACCCCCGAAGGAGACTCCGCCCTTCGGCGTAGCCTCCTTCGGGTTCCTCCCGCCCGTAGGAAGAGAGAGTTTAACCGTGCAGTCGCTCAGAAAGTGAACGACTGACAATATTCAGTCACCCCCACGAGGGTGTCATGTGGCCCCGAGCCATTAGGCCCGGCCACATTTGAACCCGTATAAACGGGTTCTGGGCCGAATGTTTTTCCTCCCCGAAGGAGACTCCACCCTTCGGCGTAGCCTCCTTCGGGTTCCTCCCGCCCGTAGGAAGAGAGTTTAACCGTGCAGTCGCTCAAAAGTGAACGACTGACAATATTCAGTCACCCCCCACGAGGGTGTCATGTGGCACAAGGCCTTTTTAACGTGGGCATTCCCGAGCCATTAGGCCCGGCCAAAAAATAGCCCATTTGAACCCGTATAAACGGATTCAGGGCCGGTTTTACCTCCCCGAAGGAGACTCCACCCTTCGGCGTAGCCTCCTTCGGGTTCCTCCCGCCCGTAGGAAGAGAGTTCAAACCCAGCAGTCTGTTCAAAAGTGAACGACTGACAATATTCAGTCACCCCCCCACGAGGGTGTCATGTGGCACAAGGCCTTTTTAACGTGGGAATTCCCGAGCCATTAGGCTCGGCCAAAAAATAGCCCATTTGAACACGTATAAACGGGTTCTGGGCCGATTTTACCCCCGAAGGAGACTCCGCCCTTCGGCGTAGCCTCCTTCGGGTTCCTCCCGCCCGTAGGAAGAGAGTTTAACCGTGCAGTCGCTCAGAAAGTGAACGACTTATTCAGTCACCCCCACACGAGTATGTGATGTACAAGGCCTTTTTAACGTGGGAATTCCCGAGCCATTAGGCTCATTAAAAATAGCCCATTTGAACCCGTATTTAACGGGTTCTGGGCCGAGTTTACCCCCCGAAGGAGACTCCGCCCTTCGGCGTAGCCTCCTTCCGGTTCCTCCCGCCCGTAGGAAGAGAGTTGAACCGAACAGTCGCTCAGAAAGTGAACGACTGACAATATTCAGTCACCCCCACGAGGGTGTCATGTGGCACAAGGCCTTTTTAACGTGGGCATTCCCGAGCCATTAGGCCCGGCCAAAATAGCCCATTTGAACCCGTATAAACGGGTTCTGGGCCGGTTTTACCTCCCGAAGGAGACTCCACCCTTCGGCGTAGCCTCCTTCGGGTTCCTCCGCCCGTAGGAAGAGAGTTCAAACCCAACAGTCGTTCAAAAGTGAACGACTGACAATATTCAGTCACCCCCACGAGGGTGTCATGTGGCACAAGGGCATTCCCGAGCCATTAGACTCGGCCAAAAAATAGCCCATTTGAACACGTATAAACGATTCTGGGCCGGACCTCCCGAAGGAGACTCGCCCTTCGGCGTAGCCTCCTTCGGGTTCCTCCCGCCCGTAGGAAGAGAGTTTTAACCGAACAGTCGCTCATTGAACGACTGACAATATTCAGTCACCCCCCACGAGGGTGTCATGTGGCACAAGGCCTCTTTTAACGTGGGAATTCCCGAGCCATTAGGCTCAAAAAAAATAGCCCATTTGAACACGTATAAACGGGTTCTGGGCCGGTTTTACCCCCCGAAGGAGACTCCGCCCTTCGGCGTAGCCTCCTTCGGGTTCCTCCCACCCGTAGGAAGAGAGTTTAACCGTGCAGTCGCTCAGAAAGTGAACGACTGACAATATTCAGTCACCCCACGAGGGTGTCATGTGGCACAAGGCCTTTTTAACGTATAGCCATTAGGCCCGGCCAAAAATAGTTTTGAACCCGGGATTCAGGGCCGGTTTTACCCCGAAGGAGACTCCACCCTTCGGCGTAGCCTCCTTCGGGTTCCTCCCGCCCGTAGGAAGAGAGTTTAACCGTGCAGTCGTTCAAAAAGTGAACGACTGACAATATTCAGTCACCCCCCACGAGGGTGTCATGTGGCACAAGGCCTTTTTTAACGTGGGCATTCCCGAGCGATTAGGCTCGGCCAAAAATAGCCCATTTGAACCCGTATAAACGGGTTCTGGGCCGAGTTTTACCTCCCGAAGGAGACTCCACCCTTCGGCGTAGCCTCCTTCGGGTTCCTCCCGCCCGTAGGAAGAGAGTTCAAACCCAGCAGTCTGTTCAAAAAGTGAACGACTGACAATATTCAGTCACCCCCCACGAGGGTGTCATGTGGCACAAGGCCTTTTTAACGTGGGCATTCCCGAGCCATTAGGCTCGGTCAAAAAATAGCCCATTTGAACCCGTATAAACGGGTTCTGGGCCGAGTTTACCTCCCCGAAGGAGACTCCGCCCTTCGGCGTAGCCTCCTTCGGGTTCCTCCCGCCCGTAGGAAGAGAGTTTAACCGTGCAGTCCCAGAAAGTGAACGACTGAAGAGAGTCACCCCCCCACGAGGGTGTCATGGCACAAGGTCCTTTAACGAACCATTAGGCTCGGCTCAGGAGGTGAACCCGACTGGGCCGGTTTATCCGCCCTTCGGCGTAGCCTCCTTCCGGTTCCCCCCCGTAGGAAGAGAGTTGAACCGAACAGTCGCTCAAAGAACGACTTTATTCAGTCACCCCCACACGAGGGTGTCATGTGGCACAAGGCCTTTTTAACGTAGGAATTCCCGGCCATTAAGCTCGGCCAAAAATAGCCCATTTGAACCCGTATAAACGGGTTCTGGGCCGGTTTTACCTCCCCGAAGGAGACTCCGCCCTTCGGCGTAGCCTCCTTCGGGTTCCTCTCCGCCCGTAGGAAGAGAGTTGAACCGAACCGTCGCTCAGAAAGTGAGCGACTGGCTCCCTGCCTACTCCTGAAGCGCAGTATTTATTAAGTATGGAATAGTCCATTATTATTATTATGGGTAAGATCCCATAACAGTTACCCAGATCAACATCCACCTGATGAAGCCCGAAAGGAAAACGGCCGAAACGTTGTGATCACATCAACAAAAACGAGATTGAGTGATTTGTTTTTTTTTACAGCTTTTCAACCTTGTGCGGGTTATTTAAAACCTAAAAAAAATGTAGATTGTATGAATTTTTTAAGATTGTAATGATTTACTGATACAAGTTCTACTAATTAACCCATAGCTGGAGGGAGAAGAAAGTGAGAAGAGGTAGATTCTTAATACCTTTCCAAAGGGCATTTGTGCGTAAGTAAATGTAACGAACTCGACTGCAATTGGAACTCTGTTCCCCAATTCTCAATATCGAGCCATTATCTACTATATCATCCGAACATTCAAGCTTACAGCATCTGGTACTTCCTAACGGTCACCCATCTAGGTATTGACCAAGCTCGATGTTGCTTAATTTCAGTGATCGTCCGAGAACCGGTGTTTCAACGAGATATGGCAGTAAGGCACAACAAAGATGATTACAATAATCCGCATGCAAATAACCTAAATAATAACTATTAGTTGTATGGAAATAGGGTGCCATGTTGTTAGCAAAAGGAGCAGCTCTACGTGTTGGGGACGTCAAAATCAAGCAGAAATGGTAAGAGACGATGAAAAAAATGTGACTCAACAGATGGGAAGGTGCTTAAGAATAGCGAAAGATGTCTTTCAGAAACTAAGCAAACATTATTCTTAGAAGCAAAGAAAAGACGCTGATTACTTGCAATGTAATATCTTCTCTCCTTTATGACATTGAATGCTGCAAATCACTTCATAGATGAAAAAAAAGAGTTGAAGCGACAAAGATGTAATTCTACCGACGAATGTAGCAATTACCATGAACAGAGCCGGTGATTAATTAGGAAGATTTTATTCCCATTTTTACAATGATTTATAAGGCTTAAGGGCCACTCGAGGTAGAGGGTTACAGAGTAAGATGCACAGTCTAAGGAAAATTAGGAAACTGATGTCAGCTATTTACAATATTTATAATGTTTGGTCATATTCACTACGTTTCGACTGTTGTACGCTCCGGCTTTCTTGAGTCATTATATTTTGGAATTTAGAACTGAACACTTTCTTCAGTCCATTGGGGTAGGTTGTTCTAGTATGTCTTTCTGGATATTTTAGTTTCAGTTAATTTCTTTTGGTAACTCAACACTCCAAGTTTTTGTTCACATCTGCTGTCCCCAGGCAATAGACTCACAACTCTTTGGGGCAAGGCATTTTTTGGATTACTTCAACCAATGCGATACTAATAATGACAGAGAGCTTGGAGAATTTGGCACTCACAGGATATCGTGATAGCAAGAGAAAAAGGAATGATACTGCGAACGGCTTGCTTATGCTTGAGGGAATAAATGACAAGAAGAAGGACGAATGGTAAGGAGAAAAAACTAATTAGTAAAATAAAAGACAAGATGTAATGGAGGGCCGTGATCATCCACGTCCCGAAAGGACATTGCATATAAAAGAAAATTTTAAAAGGGATAAGAATGGAGCCTTGTTTTAAAGATGTTATTGCATTACAACTTTGACGAATAATAGGAACCCGGCCCGAGGAGTAACCTACTTGTTTCACTGCTGTTCGATCTTTGCGGAGTCAGACGTGAATTCAACCAGTTTAACCTCTTTGCCCTCTGACCGTACACTATCTGCGGTCGGAAATTACGATGGAGCGTCCGTTTAGTAGTTATCAAACAATTAAACCGGGACTCACTATTTCTGTTCTTTCTTTCTCGTGCCTGATCAAGAGGTCACTCTCGTTGTGTTCTCAGACTGACACGAGAAGAAACAATCTTACGTGATTTGTTAAAATTAAATCCAAGGTGGGTCAGCATTCTGGCTGCAATTTTCATCCTTACATCGCCGGCATCGAGACCGTGTGTGAAAGCTTCATCCGCTACTTAGAGCTTTTTAGTCCTGTTATTTTCTCATTGATTATTGTCTCCTTCTCGGCTCGACGCTGCTTGTATTGTGTTACAGTAACAACCGCAGTTATCTGTTATTTGATGCTGGAAAGACCTGTTGAAAATCAGATTTAATCAGGAACAAAATGACAAGAGACGTTCAGGGTAATATGATTGTAATACCCTTTGTACTTTATCTATACGCTCAAGATCGGATCGAAAAAAGTCAATTTTGAAAATTCATCGCACATTAAAATTCATCGGCTTTTGTTTGAATTATTTTTAGTTTATAGAAATTAACACTCAAATTCAAATATCAACCATTTTGAAAAAAATAGTAAAAACTTTTTGCAAAGAGGTCGTTGTTATTAAAGAAAATCACTTCTAAAAGTTTTATTAGATTTCCAATAAAAATGTACAGGATATTTCGGTAAACTGATTTTCTTAGATGAAGTATTTTAATTATTATTATTACTATTATTAAAACTTTTTTTAATTTCATTGTTTTTATCCCATCTTCCAAGTCATTATTCCCCATTACTTGAGAAAGAAAGCGGGATTATGATAAAAGACTCACATCCAACATCCTATCCTTCGAAGTTATTTTAAAAAGGTTTGTACCCTACAAATGAATTCAGAAAAACCCAACAACAGACGAAATTCAAATTAATCATATTTCCATATTTTGTGATAGATATCTCACTGTGTGACCGTCGAAAAAAATTCCTGAAGTTTACGAAATCCTTTATTATTTATTTTTTTCTATTAAATAAAGGTACAGTAAATAAAATACATTAAATAATCCATCCCATGTAGTTTGCTGCCATTTTCTACTGGCCAGAGTGAGAGCCCATAGCTGGCTGCCACGAATAGGCAGGAAGATTCTATTGGCCAGCGTGAGAGCCAACAGCTGACTGACACGAATATTAACTAGCATGCTCGCATGCAAAAAAGAAATCGATAGCTGCATTCGTCACAAGTGGGAAAAATTTAAATCTGCATGGCACTTTACTCCAATAGGCTCATTCGCTTGCTTAAACTCAACGTTGATTCTGATTCCACAGACCTGGGTTGGGTGTGAAAAAGTATTTGTTGTTAAGTTTTTCATTCGGTTTTTCCAGTTACGAGTCCTTTTTTAAAGCTGATCGTTTTGTGTTCATTTTGTTTAGTTCTTTTTTCATAACAGATTTAATGTTTAGTATAGAACTTAGAAAAAATTCGCAGTTTGAGATAGACAAGAAGTAAGGCATGTAGCAACATCAGCACGGCAAAAGGCACTCCTTTAAAGGCAATGAAGGGCAAAAATATTTTAAGTGATAGCGATTGCTGTGTAAGTCGTACGATTTTTGAATCAACCACGGACAACGCCGGGCCATGCTGCTAGTATATATGTATATATATATATTTGGGAAATTGTAAGACAAAGTGGAAAAAAAGTTTTCTTGCGACGCGTTTCGCCCTTTAGGACTTCATCGGACTAAATTTGTTCTGTTCGTATGCTTAGCATTTTTTAATCTAGCCGAAGTCTAGGGTCTTTTTCTTTTTCTTTCTATCAATTTTGTTAGTAGGTTAACTCACACTGTGATTTTAGATCTTCCAGGAATGGTGAAATTTACAATTCTCCTAATACTGTCTCTCGCTCATATATATATATATATATATATATATATATATATATATATATATATATATATATATATATATATATATATACATACTATTGATTATTCCTTAACTTTCTTTGAAAACTACTAATAGTGGTCGAAAGTACTCGGAATATAACACATAATTTTGCCAAATTCCTTTGCCAGATCACATTCCCGACACTTTCGACATCGGGAGAAATACATCAAAAAGATTAATAGACACTCCCTTGACGTTCCGCGCTACTTCAAATGAAATGTTATCAAGGAAGCCCTTGTCAATAATGGAAAGAGCGATAGCAGCTATTGGACTTGAGAAACCTATTTTCCAGAAAAAATGTTTTAAGAGAAAGATTTTGTAAATTTAAACTAACAGACGCATTGGCTGGTCGGTCAACAAATGCCGAAGGTTTTCTTATAAGGAAATGGCTAATATTACGATTACAATTGACATTTCCGGTTTGTCTTATAGAACATGTTTAAACAAAGGCTACTACCTAATTATACTATTATTTCACCAAGTACTTTCAACCTCTTCGGAGATCATCTTCAGGCGTTTAGTGTCTGTGGATATGTGTGTGTGAACACCGGAAAATTTAAAATATTTACCCGTTATGCAAGAGAGGTAAATTATGGGATTCTTTTTATTAAACATTAACAAAAGGAGCATGAAAACTGATATATTGGTTCTTGAATAAAAGTGCGGGATTTTATTTTTTTCGATCAAAATTTTAAAATCTACGTTAAATGAATATCGCAATTCTAAATGAGCATTTTATTAAATTTTTTTCTAGCAAGTTCCTCGAACTGGGTTTGGAATGAAAACAGGTATTAAGCGTTCTTTGTCTTCTATTTATACACCGTGTCCCTTCAGGACGTAGGCGATCATGGCTCTCCACCTCCCCGTCCCTTGTAGCTCTCAATTAGTTTTGTCACTTTGTTACTTCCCCAACGCTGTCATCCACTTGCTTAAGCTCGCGCTAGGTATGTCATGTTTTGCTTTCTTGTTTCTCTTTCTGTCTAATCGACTTCCGTATCAGACTCTCCAAGCCCCCCCCCCGCCACTTTCTCATTATGTGTCCCAGAAATTTCAGCTGCTTCTTCCTGATGTTAAGTATAAGCTTCCTCCTTGTTTTCATCCTTGTTTGATATCCTTAGCACCCTTCTGTAGAGCCATACCTCTGTTGTCTCGAATCTCTTCTTCATCTTTGAGGAAACCGTCCAACATTCGCTGCCGTAAAGGAGGACAGATGTCACGTAGCAGCTCAGTACGCTTTTCTTTGTTACTAAAGAACTCCTCCAGTGTCGCTATACTCTGCTTAGCTTTTGAAATGCGTCTTTGGTCATCCCAATACGTCTTCGGATCTCAGCGTCGCACCTACCATATTCCATCAAAAACATTTCCCAGGTATTTAAATTTCCGCACCTGCTTGTTAGGAGTTACTTTTTTTAAAAAGACTAATAAATAGTTGCTACAAAGTTGGTTGGTACAGATCGAAGACGGGATTTTCCGAATATTCTCAACAATAATATTTCCTGTAAATATAGTTTAGTTTGGCTAAAGAGAGTCCAAAAGATCATACACTATTGTTTGTTTATGGAAAGTATCAACCATCCGTATGGATTTGAAGTCGGGTAAAGTAACTTCAGGTTATCCTACTTTCGATTGGTTTCACAAGCAAACTAATAATCGATATTCGAAACTTGGCAAAGCGTCTGAATTATGAAATATTATTTTAATCATAATTTTGTTGATTCAAATGCATTGGAGATTTCATTAGACAGAAGACAAAACTTAATCTTATTTGATAAGGGTAACCTCGGAAAAGTCATAATATTAAATTACTCTATAATCAGACGCATTTCGATTTGTATTCTCTTTGCGATATCATTCGTAATCGAAGTC